CCAGGCTATTAAATGAAGTTTCTTATCCATCGTGTTCCCATGTAGCAAAAATCTCGAACACATCTTAGAGATGTAAGATCTACAGCTTTTGGGTATGATAGCTCCCCTTATCCAGTAAGCTATAGTATTAGCTATAGTAAATTTCAGAAATTGGAACCGCCCTGCAAAAGATAGAAACTTAACTTTCTAACCCGCAAGTAGAGCAGAAACTTTGCTCAGAAGGGGTTGGAAGTGAGAAAATTTAAGTCTGGAGAGAGAGATGGGAAGACCAAGGTAGGTGAGGTAAGAATTGCTCTGATGAATCCCAAGAAGATCAGCAATATTAGAAGTTGAATTTGCATCTTTAGCAAAGAGAATAGAACTCTTAGTCGGATTAACATAGAGATTAGAGGCCTTAGCAAAACAATTAAGAGCATTAAGAAATATTTGCACATTATCCTCCTCAGCCTTTCCAAAAACAAGAAGATCATCAGCGTATAAGAGATGATTAATCGTTACCCCATTGCAAGAAATTCCTTAGAAAAGATTAGGTTGAAGGCAGCAAGAAAGCCCATCCATCGCAATATAGAAGAGAAGAGGGGATAAGGGGCACCCTTGCCTGAGTCCAGAGGAGGACATGAAAAATCCTTCAAGGGAGCCGTTAATGTACATAGAAAAATAAACATCCGAGATACACCCTTTGATCCATTTGATAAAAGGTTCAGGAAAACCTTTCATCTTTAAACGATGCAACAAAAATTCTCTAGAAAGAGAGTCAAATGCCTTTTGGATGTCCAACTTAGCGCAAAAAAGGTTGCTACCAACCTTGAATTCCCTTAACAAATTAGCAGCCAAGATAATGTTATCAGAAGAACAACGCTTTGCAATAAACCCCCCTTGACTATCATGAATAATAAGTGGAAGCACCTCCTTTAATTTGTTAGCTAGTAGTTTGGCCACCACTTTACAAAAAACATTGCACAAGGATATGGGCCTATAATCTGAGATGTGATTTGCATGGGGGTTCTTAGGAATTAAGGCAATGGCCATGGATTTACAAGCCTTGGGAAGAAAACCTGTAGAGAAAAAGCTTTTAATCGCCCTACAGATTTTAGGACCTAACAAGTGCCACATTTTTTATAGAATTCAAAGGAGAATCCATCAGGTCCAAGGGCAGCATCCGTTTTTCCAGAAAAAATCACTTTCTTAATATCATCATCAGTAACCGGAGCAAGAAGGAAAGGTTGCATCTCAATTGGAACCAATTTCCTTATCGGAATGGAGTCAACATCCCAAACAGCAGTATTGGGAGCATTAAATAAATTTGAAAAGTGATTGATGATGGCTTCAGCAATAGTAGATTGGGTTGAGAAAGAGCCTCGTTCAGTATTAATCTCCCTTAAAATATTCCTATTATTTCTTTCCTTAATCTTAGCAAAAAGAAACCCCAAATCGTCTTCCCCTTTTGAAAGCCAATAAGCCTTGGCGCGTTGAGACATCCAGGAAGACCAAGCAGATTGGAGAAAAGCAAGTTGTTCATTAATCCCTTTAAGAGTGGAATTCAAATCCTGGCATAGAGGATTGGATTGAAGATCATTTAGGCAACAGTTCTGGGAGTTTTTAACATCAAGAATGGCTTTAGATAAGAAATTGGAAGAGGACCAATTCTTTCCTTTAAGAGCATTTTTTAGGATTCTAAGGATTTGATAGAAATAAAAAATTAGGCTTCTATCCAGAGGCCTAGAGAAAGCCAAAATAACATCATCCCAGAAAACATTCAACTTCACCCAATAGTTTTTAAACATGAAATGAGCCTTGGGAACATAAGAGGAGGAATCCATAAAAATAAGAGGGGAATGATCCGACCCTCCAAGAGGAGCCACTTTATAGAAAGAAAAATTAAAATAATTAATAAGAGCCGAGTTGACCAAAATCATGTCCAACTTAATATGAATGGGCATATCCGCCCTTTGGTTGAACCAAGTGTAGAAAAGCCCAACCGATGCAAGGTCTTGAACCCCACAATCAAAAAATGCACTTATTCAGTTCTCCTAAAGAGCTCTGAGAAGGAGGATTTCCACCCGCTTTTTCATACTCATATCTATAGCAGTTAAAATCACCCATGATAATCCAAGGGTGATCAAGGGGAGGAGCAACATTTCGAAGATCATCCCACAGCTTTTGCCTATCAATCACATTGTTGGAAGCATAAACAACAGAAAGCTGAATAATAAGAGCAGAACCAACCGAAAAAGTACCATGAACTAACTGAGAAGAGGTGAACAAAGGAGAGAAAGTGACAACAGATTTGTCCCATTTAAGCCAAATCCTCTCCGGATTCGAAAAATAGAAGTTGTTGTAACTTGCTTCATCTTCAAACACTTTATAAGAGTGAAGAAACCACGGGTCTAAAGTAGACTGTAAAGGGATTTTGGCTTCCAAAATACCCAAGAATTTGAGACAGTCAGAAGTAATCAATTCTTTGCAAAAATGAACTTTGTCAGGGTTATTAAACCCCCTCACATTACAACATGCTAAAGGTGAGCAAGACATTAATAACGAGATCCTTTAGCCTTTTTTATGGTCTTAGGCTGACCTTTTTTGGGTTCTTTGGGGGATTTGGTTTTAACTTTTGATGATAATTGCTGATCCGACGAAGAGCAATCCGTAGAGATTTGGGTCGGGGAAGAATGACCCTGTAAGGCATCCTCGCCAGGGGAAGTGTCTTGAGGAGGAGGCTCAGTTTCTTCTGAAAGTAAAGAGGCAAATTTGTTGGCAATATGGACAATGGGAGTTAGAAGACGTGAAGACGGGGAAGGGAGCTCCGAGCTATAGCTCTGCTAGGGTTTTGAGCTTCTGCTTTTTTCATTGGCCGGCGTCTCTTCCCTTCGGGGAAGAGGCTTCATCTCCTCCGTCATATGGAGCTCAACGCACAAGATTTCCCTCCACTGTCCTCGCCTTCGGTATTGGGCCAACCCTCGATACTTCTTTCTGGCTCATATGCCGCGAATCTGTCTACTTCAGCTTCTAAACCTACAAACTTCCCGATGTCATTTGTTTCCCCTGCTTCGAAGCTCTCTTTCAGAGGAAATGATCTTTCGGAAGGTGCCTTCATCTGGAATCTGTCTCTGGTGGGTTACTCTATCGGCCCTAGACCATACTATGAGAGGTTACTCGCTGCTATGAAAAAGGTTTGGAGCATTAAAGGTTCGATGTCTCTTCTTTCACTAGCGGATGGTTTCTTTTTGCTAAAATTTACTGCTTTGGAAGATTAGGAAATGGTGTGGAATGGTGGACCTTGGTTTTGGCTTGGAAAGCCATTCATTCTTCAACAATGGTCACCGAAATTTAAACTTGTTAGAGATGAGTCTGCTGCTATCCCAATTTGGATCAAAATTATTGATCTTCCCCTCGCTTTGTGGACTCCTTTAGGGATTTCTAGAATTGCTAGCTTCATTGGTGTTCCAATTTCAGTTGATTCCCTTACAGCTAATCGAACTAGACTCACTTTTGTCAGGTGTGTGTGCAAATTAATAAAAACTCTGTTCTCCCCAATGAGATCCCGATTGAAATTGAAAGGGAAGACATGAACCTCAAGGTTGTGTATGACTAGAAACCTTCACCTTGTAAAGGTTGTGGCTCTCTCTTCCATCCTTTCTCTCTTTGCTATACTAATCCAAACCCAGCTCCTACTATCCCGCCTGCTTCTCACCCCAGGGGAAGGAGTACTAGTCGGCATCCTGCTGTGAGGAAGCAGTTCCCTTCCTCTAAACCACCTTTGCAAATTACTGACAACTCTGCTTTAAATACGAATCTTCCCCCTACAACTTTAATTTCTCCTTCTCCTGTTGTGGAACCTTCTGTAGCACTTCCTTCTTCCTCCACGGCTCATACTCCGACCTCAATCCCTGTTATTCATGTTTCTGTCCCTTCGGTTTTTCCTACTGCCTCTCCCGCTAAAGACCGTCTCTTGCCTAACCTTAACTTTCCTTTGGATGTTGCTTCTTGCTCGGAAAAAATTACTGTCACACCTACCTGATCAAACCAATCTAACATAAAATTCTATTTTTTATTTTTTATTTTTTTTACATTTACGTTATTTTTAATTTTTTGAATTCATAATCAAATCTTTCAACTAAGAGATAAAAAATAATTGTCATAAAGTTTTTGTTCGGTTAATGATGAGTGATTGACTAATATACCTGCTATTTTTGTACGATGTTGAAGTGATGGTGGGAACGTTAAAGGTGATGCATTTCATTAAAAAAAAAAAAAAACAAGTTGTAGTACTGAAGTTGACGAAAGCCCTCAATTATTAGAAATTGAGCTAGAATATTCTATTCAATAATGATTACATTAAATTTTAAAAATTAATATAAATGGACTTATTAAGCCAAAAGTGTAGAGGGATTCTTAAATCATGAAATTTTAAATTACATAATTGATTATTTTATTTTAATTTTATAATTTCTATTATAATTACATAATTTATAAATAAATTTTAAAATTCTAAATTATGCAAATTTAAATTCATAAGATTTTTAATTTATCATAAAAAAATATCACTAATTATTTTGAAGATTACAATATTTAAATTAAATTATAAATTGGTGCAATATATTAACTCTTAATGATGTCTTTTCAAAACACAGAAAAATAGACCGATATATTTTTGTCGGAGATATGGCTTAACTTAATGAATAAAACATTAATTATTAGTTTTAACAAAAGAAAGCCACCCAATTTTTCTAGATAAATATATGGAAAAATCAACACAACCGAGTGCTGCCCTTCGTACACCCCTCTTTTAAATTACATAATTGATTATTTTATTTTAATTTTATAATTTCTATTAGAATTACATAATTTATAATTAAATTTTAAAATTCTAAATTATGCAAATTTAAATTCATAAGATTTTAATTTATCATAAAAAAAATATCACTAATTATTTTGAAGATTACAATATTTAAATTAAATTATAGATTGGTGCAATATATATTAAACGAGGGCTTGAGACGAAGCTCTGAACCCGGCCATGGCGGATGCAAACTCATCTCCCCACGTCGTTGTCGTCTCAAGCCCAGGATTAGGCCACATCACCCCTTTCGTTGAGTTAACAAAGCTCCTCGTTCTCCGCCACCACTTCACTGCAACAATAATAACTTTCTCCGACCTCCCCTTTTCCCTTCCTTCTTCCATCTCCACAATCCAACTCCCCGTCCTAGAACTCCCCGCCGACACCGACATCGGCGTCCGCATATCCCTCACCATGGCCAACTCTGTCTCTCCACTCCGACAAATCCTCATCTCTCTCCAGCAGACGACCCGAATCGCCGCTGTCATCTTCGACCTCTTCGGAGTCGACCACTTGTCAATGGTCAAAGAGCTCCACATCCCAACATACCTTTTTTTAACCTCGAACCTGTTTTTCCTATCCTTCAAGCTCCACCTCCCAGCACTCGACGAGTCCACCGTCGGCGAGTTCCGAGACTTGCCGGAGCCACTGAAGCTGCCCGGTTGCGTTCCCTTAAAAGGCGTGGATTTCTTGTCTCCTTTACAGAAGAGGGAGAGCGAGACTTGTGCCATTGTGGTGCACGGAGCAAGAAAGTACAATAATGTCGATGGAATTCTAGTGAACAGCTTTGAAGCCTTGGAAGCAGGCGCCGCCAAGTTTCTAAAACAGGTGGAGTTATTTATTTTTATCAATGCTTTGAGGTAAGTAATTATTTACCATTAAACATTTTTACTTATAACTTTTTGTAATAGAGGGGCGGTGGAAAGCCTCCGGTTTGGCCTATCGGGCCACTTACAGCGTCGGACTCAGATATGTGGTATGAAGATCACTCACATGACTGCATAGAGTGGCTGAATCGGCATCCAAGTGGGTCGGTCATCTTCATCTGTTTTGGCAGCGGCGGTGCTCTGTCATGGGAGCAGACGCGAGAACTTGCGCTCGGATTAGAGATGAGCGAACAGAGATTCCTATGGGTGGTGCGGGCGGCGTGCGACACCGGGCTGAGTGGCAGTTTTTTTAACCCGAATCAGAGCAGAGATGACCCTATGGAGTTTCTTCCTGAAGGATTCGTGGAGAACACGAAGGAGAGGGGGATGACGGTGATGTCATGGGCGCCACAGCGTCAGGTGTTGGGCCATAATGCGACTGGTGGGTTCGTGTCTCATTGCGGGTGGAACTCCGTGCTGGAGAGCTTGGTGAATGGTGTGCCGATTGTTGCGTGGCCGCTTTACGCAGAGCAGAAAATGAATGCGGTTTTGCTTGAGGAAGGCGCGAAGGTGGCGCTGAGGGTGAAGGAAGGGGAGAATGGGGTGGTGAGGAGGGAGGAAGTGGCGAAGGTTGTGAAGGAATTGATGGAAGGTGAGGAAGGGAAGCAGGTGCGACGGGGAATGCAGGTGATGAAGAAAGAGGCGGCGAGGGCTGTGGGGAAAGAGGGGTCTTCTTATAAGGCGTTGGAGGAATTGGTTGGTATTTTGAAAGACATTGCTGCTGCGTAAGTTATCCAATAATTAATGTTTCATGTATTTTATTGACGCCGGAGCTAGTTTCCGTTTTAATTAATTTTTGTGTAGCAAAAAAACGTTGTTGCCTTTAGTTAAATATTATGCCACTAGGTGAATAAACGGCGGACAGAATTTGAGATTCACTTTTTTCAGTGTTTTTTCCTACCCATTTTTGCTTTGGGCTTATTATTCTGTGCGGAGTGCGGAGGGCGTTGGGAGACTAATAAAAATGTGCCACATCACTTCATTGTTGGGTATCCAGCTCGGTACCCACACTCGATATGGTTGTGTATCGCTCGTAAGTCCATTTGTGTTATTCTTCTTTCTATATCTATCTCAAACATGTTACCTCCTTGGAGGTGAGCATATTTATTTGGAGAAGTAGAACGAGTGGGCTTCGATGATTGTGATTTTTTCTTGGTCACCAACCCTTCTATGGTTGTTATTATTATCAAGCTGGTCATGGTTGAGCTCAGGTATTGACACAATCATGTCAAATGGGTCTCTAGATGTGAGAAAATATTGATCCATATTATTGACTTGGTCTCATTAGTCAATTCTTGTAACTAAAGAGTGTTTGGATTAGTAGAGTTGACCTTAGCCTAGCTTAATGTTGTCTCTTAGATACAACATGAATGGATGAGATTGATGAGGGCTAAGGTCTGAATAAAATGGAGGTGGTGAATTAGTTGTGCAAAAAATATTTGATTATCTTTTTCTTAATTTATATCAATTTAAATCATCACAATAAATTTGTGAATTAAATTTATTTATAACTATAATCACATAAACCTATAATTATGTCAAGTATGAAATAGTAGAAATGAGTGGATAATAGATCTATAATATGATAAAAGTTAACTTTGCCACACAATTTAATATCATCATACAATAATTCAATGCATAAATATTTGCCTACAAATAATGATATGATGATTGTTGACCTCATTTTTTGATGGAGATGAACTCCATTCAACCTTTATACCTAGCTTTGACTTATAGGTGATTATGCCTTAGTCAGAATGGTGCTCCAACTTCATTAGAACTTCACAACGTCTCTTTGGCTCTGGCATTCGAGGCGATTCTGGGGCGATTCTAGGGTTCCTCTTCGTGCACTCGTTTGGTGGCTTCCTGGTTGGTTTTCCTGCGAGTTTTTATTCTTATTTTTGAGTCGTTCGCTCTGGTGCTTCGGGCTATCTTGGTGTTCTACGGCTTCCCGTGTGTTCTAGTTTTTTTTAGAGAGGTCTTTGTGGATTCTTGACTCGGTTTTGCTCCCTTTTCATGTTTTTCATGTTTTTTATGCTTCTTTTGAGCTTTGTTTTCTTTTGTTAATCGTTTTTCACAGTTCTGGGGGTTGACAACCCCGTCATTATTTTACCCTTTTGATACCTACTGTTCCGAATGGAAAATCCCACTCTTTTAAGCTTTTTCTTATTGGATCTTCTACTTCTCCCACCCCCTTTCAGTTCGTTCATACGTCGTTTTAGGGTTGTCCCGCCTTAATGTTTGATGATTCGGTTGTGTCTCAGTTAGCTTCCCCCTTCGCTCGTACTCTTATTGGTAAATTTATTCTGAGGCTACCTAATCTCGATGTTATTCACAAGTTTTTCACGAATTTGAAGCTTTCTAGTTCCTTTCATATCAGATTACTTGACACCCATCATGTGGCGATCCAACTGAGCAACGACATGGATTACAGCCAAATTTTTTCAAGGAGATCTTATTATATTCTGGTTTATCAAATGAGACTCCAAAAATGGTCACCTGATTTTGATGTTCGTGAGGAATCGCCAATTGCTCCTGTTTGGGTTTCTTTCCCTAATCTGAAGCTCCTTTTTTTAATTCTCAAGTTCTTTTTGGGCTTGCTTCCATTCTTGGTCGGCCATTGCAAACAGACCAGGCCACAGCTTCGGTCTCACGGCCGTCTGCGGCTCATGTTTTGGCTGAGTTAGATATTTTTAAAAAACATCCTACGGAGATTTGGTTAGGTTCTGAATTGAACAGTTATTTCCAAAAGGTTGCTTTTGAAAATTATCTGATATTTTATTCTCATCTTAATATGCACGGGCATGATTTGAGTGAATGCTTTAAATTGCATCTGCACCTTAAGAAGGAAAAAGAAATTGCCAAGCATTCTAAAGTGCAAGAGGATATTTTGAATGATCATGTCAATGCTATTTTGAATCATACTGTGGTGGATGGTAAAGGTGGAATATCCTAGGGTAATAAAGTGGCTAATCTTCAGCTTGATCTCATTCAGTTCACCCCCCCCCCCCCTTTGGCGACCCCCCCCCCCCCCTATTGGAGATGATTTCCTTAGTGTTCAAACCATGGAACCAATTATTGCTACTAAATTTATTCCATCTATTAGGGAGAAACAAATGTTACCTAGTAACTCTAATAGCATACCTGAACCATCTTCCTCATCATATCCTTATGAATCACAATAAGCTTTTGTCTCAAATGGTTGTTACTGATGTTAATACTAACTGTCCTAATCCTCTTTAATATATGATTATGAATGAGCATGTTAATGATCTAATTACTGAAAGAGCCGAGCCTTTATTGCTGGAGGATGATTTGTCTCAACAAGAAAACCTTCCTAATGTCCAAATCGAGTGTGTGAAGGAATTATGTGGAGGCATTGAGAGGAATATTTCTACTTTGGAAGATGGTGTTTTCTATGTGAAAGGTGAGTTGCCTCTTTCTAAGGGGCCTTCAGGTAATTTAAATGATAGTAAGCTTCCTTTACCTGATCATTATCTTTGTGATGCTTTTACTGATATGGAAGTGGATATTTTGGCTAAATGATATGCTAGAGAAGATCATGATTTGAGTTTCTCCAAGGGTTGTGGTAAGAGAGGTAGAAAATCCAAAAATGTTTTCTTACAGTCCCCTAGAAGCACACGTTCGCATACTTCCCATTAATTTTGTTTTTTACGTTTAACGCCATTATTTGGAATGTCCTGGGTATTGGTTGCCCATCATCTAAGGTTAGAAATAAAAATTTATTTCATATTCATAATGTGTCTATTCTTATTTTGCTTGAGCCTCTTATTTTTGTGGATAAATTACTTGGTACTGTTGCGGATCAATGGTTTATGATTTTGATGATAGCAAACATTCTTATTTCTTCATGACTGCTTTCTACTAACATTTCAGGTTCACACGATGGGACTGCAATTTGGAATCAGCTCAAGATTGGGTAAACTTGGTCTGAGTCAGTTTGTATATTTTTTCCTTTCTTAAGTCTAATGTATTTGGTGTGGCTCCTGATGTTTTGTAACTTGGAAGATTTTTTTGTTGCTTCATAAAGAGTTCTATTTTTGGTAACATCATCCGGGATGTTATTCAGGACGATATTTAGTTCAGAAAGGATCTGCCGCCAGATCTATTTAGAAATAATTTATTTTTGGACATCGTCCAGGTGGATCGTCCAAGACTATAAAATATCGTCCAGGATGATCCAGGTCAATTTTTCCAAAATTTCTCTGAAATTTAAAGAAAATAATTATGACTTGATTTCACGATCAAATCGGCCTGGACAATCACAAAATCATCCCGGCTGATATATTGGACGATTGGTCATCGGATAGCTGTTTTTCAGGGCGATGTTCAGGACGATATTCCACAATTTGTTCTGATCGTCCAGGACGATATCATCCTGGACGATATGAACAAACTTCTTCTGACCGTCATAAATCGTCCCGGCTGATTGGGCTTAAATTGTACTGATCGTAAATGACGATATTCCTGTCGTCCTGGACGATAATGTCAACAACTTGCATTAATGAGCTCGTTTTGAGAGCTTATATTTAAGCTTTGTCAAGGCACTTTGTAAGTGTCTTTGTCAGCCATTGTAGCTTCGTTCTTGTGGGGGAAACTTGAAGAGAAAGCTTGAAAGGGAGTGAGGAACAGGTGAAGTCTGAGAGAGGGAGAAGATCCTGTGAGGGGGGACTCAAGGGAGTATGGAGGGGGATTCCACACGGTTGCTCCGGCAGGCTTGCATCTTAATACTGTCGGATTCAATGCTTGTCTCAAGGGAAGTTCACCAAAGAAGAAGATCTCTTTGGTGTCAAAGGACCCGGCAACTCCGCCGCACCAGGGAAGGTGAAAGTGATTTTGTAAGGGCTTCTCCACCTAGCTCTGGGGGCTAAAGGAGAGACACTTATTTTAGTGCAGTACTTGGAGGGTGTCTCGAAGGAGTGGATGTAAGTCAAGGTTTGACCGAACCACTATAAATCCGGTGTGTTCTTTCTTTATTACTTTCGCATTTAATTTTCGCACCTTGGTTTTGATTGTGGTGATATTGGTTTTAGTTTTGTGTAAGTTTTTACCAATTCACATATTTCTCTTAATGAGCCTTGGGCCAGTTCTATAGGGCTTAACATCCCTAACGAACTTTCAAGTGGTATCAGAGCGGGATTCATAAAATAAGTTTTTAAAAGCTTTTGAATTTTGATCCATGGCTAATTTTTCAAATCATAATATTGCGTAAGGTTATTCAATCACGAGACCACCTTTATTTGAAAATATTCCTTTTAATTTTTGGAAAATTCGCATGACTACTTTCTTGCAATCGATTAATTTTCGCATGTGGCATATGATTTTAACTGATTATTCATCACCATCACGTATTGTTAATGGAGTTAAAACTGATATTCCTTTTAATCAATGGAATAAGGAAGAACAACTGAATGCTCAACTGAATGCAAAATCTTTAAATTGCTTTTTCTATGCTTTAAATTCTGAAGATTTCATGTTAATATCATCTAGTCAATAATTTGGGTTTACTTTAGTTTTGAAAATATAAGAAAGAAAGCATATTTTTTAAAAATAATTAAAAAAATGGCCAATGATGCCAAACCAAAAGATGCGCAATGACGCCAAATTAAAAAAAAAAATACACAGTGTATTAAAATCAAAAGATGCTCAAAAAGCCATTCAAGTGATAAAGGGCATAAAATGAGCCCATTAAAAAAAATATGCTTATTTTTTCTTATACTACTAAAAACTTAAAAAAATCCTTGATATGTTCGAAACTTGTGCTTGAAAATCTTGATTCCTGATTCAGCAATTCGTGCATTGATCTTCTACTAGATATGTTTTATGAAAGGAGTTTTAAAAAATTAATGTTTCTTTTTCACGTTTA